GCTGTGCAATTTTGTTTGTTGAAGTACTGCAAAACATTGTGGGCCCATTTACACTATTGTGCTTTTAGTGCACTTTATGGCAGCCAGTTCATTTTATGGCCCAAAAAGGTGCACGTAGCATTTTTGGCAGCACAGCTCAACGCAGATCTTTGAGAGGTGCGTTGGGGTCCATGCACAATGAATGGTCCACGTTGCACCAACGTAAGTAAGGCGTGTTACTGTAGCACAATAGAGTGAATGGACCCTTAAAGGAGAACTGTGGGGTCAGGGCTTTTCCCCATAGTTCTTCTAAGGGTCACGGGAGAACACAAACTAGCGTCCTCCCGTGACCCAAAGCACAGTATACTGCGAGCTACAGCTCGCGGTATACTGAGACGCCGCAGCCGGGACGGATCCCGACGTTGCTGTCGAGATCCACCCAGCTGCGGGATTGACACCTGGCTCTGCCTATCCAGCTGTGCCCGCCCCCTCCCCATGCGTTCCGCCAGTCAGCGCTGGAGGATCGGAGAGGAGAGGGGGCAATCCCTGCAGGGAGCAGTGAGTTACATTCACGGCTCTCTGCAGGGATAGAGCGAGAAGTGTGCAACCGACGGTATGTTCGCTCACTTCCCGATCTATTGAGCCGACCTGTGACAGTTTCATTGTCACAGGTCGGCTCAGATTATGAGGCTGAGTGAAAATTACTCGCCTCATAATTGTCTTTTAAACCTATTTTATATAAACTGCTGAAGTATAGTGATTTTTGCCTGTAGCTGGGGAAAATGGTGAAGTCTACAGAGCCAAGTCCTGCATCCAGTACACTTGCTGTCCTGAGCACCAGCAGAGAGTATGGACAGAAACAGTTGGCCTTCTGGGGCCCAGTCTGGATTATTTGTGGTTCCATCCCTTAAAGCTTGCATAAAGTTGATGTATTTAAAGAAAAAAAAAAACCTCACTCCATTTAAACAGTGACTTTGTCCGAACTGGGATGTTGCTTTTTGATATCCAGTCGACCACAGGCTTTTAGACTGGTAATTTGTATCGAGTCTTGTACTAATCTAAGTGGTGCTCCAGCTTAATAGCTGAAATACATAAATGTGAACAGATTTACTTCTGAAATCATTATATTCAGCCACTCTTGTTAATCACATAGCTCTGCCATATTCTATAACTAGCAGGGTAAACCCATTTCTTGTTTCCACTCTGTAGATTATGGTATCACCTGTTTGCTCATTGGACTATAAATAATAATGATGATGTAGCTGAGAGCCTGTCGGTGCTTTCCTCCTCTGCTAAGCTGCATCAGTAGCTCCCTTTCCACTCCCAGTGCCTGAAAACATGCGCCAGTGTAGTAAGCCTCATTGGCTGACAGTACATTATACCTAGCTGTTATATATACTGTGCAGTATAAAACTAGATTTCAAGCAGTTTTATTGTTGTAAGTACTAGGGATGCACCAATACTGCTATCTGTGCTCATACTTTCCCCAGTCATCTTCCAGGACAGCCAATGAGAGAAGGCTCCGCCTGCCTGCAACAGGAAACACACCAACCACATTAAATAAAAAGCACTTCCTTCCACCCCCAATTCAGTTTTTTTGTGTTTCCTCCGGCTACACAGGGACATGGTAATATGTTATTTTTTGGGCTCATTTTTATATTGCCTTAGGGCAGAGCCTGACCTGAATGCGTTGGGACCACCTCCAGGCATAGCCTGCTGCGGCGCATACAGGGTTTTTCCCTATCGGACTGCGCAAACTGTTGGTGCTATAGAAATTCTGAGCTCTGATACTTACCCGATATCGGATCTTCCGGTCAGAGGGAGCATGGAGCCGGCTTCCCAGCCAATCGGGAAACCGGCTTCAAGCCGCCTACTGACACTATGAGGCAACCTGGCTTCCTAACCAAAGTCGAGCGGGATGTCATGACCCACCTCCCAGCTTCCTGATTGGCTAGGAAGCCGGGCGGCATGTCAGCAACCCCGCGAGGCAGCCTGGCTTCCCGACAGTGTCACGAGAGAGCATGAAGCCGGTGTGCTTTTAATAGAACACCGGCTTCCCTGGGAATCAGGAATTTGCCGATACTGGATTCCTTGAAGCCGGGCACCTGCTACTTTGTGATGCCGGTATCGGTATTTGGTATCTGCGAGTACAGAACAAAAATATCTGTTCTCAATGCCGAAAAAATAAACGTTATCGGTGCATCCCTTGTAACTACCACTTCTCTAATGCTCTCCTTGATCATTGTGTCAGCCATATAAAATGGGTAGGTTAACATGTAAAAAAAAAAAAAAAGTGAAGGATAATCTTCCAATGGACAAATTTACAGCAGATAAATGCTACCAGAGGTTTTATTCCCATTTCCCTAAACATATTTTACTTACTATATCCCTGTTGGGAAGATTTCCCTTCACTTCTTGCCTCTGTGACACATCAGCAATGGATGATAATTTTCTAGTGGGGCCACAGCAATGAAAACCAGGCAGAGCATGTAACCCTTACCAACCATACCTCCAAAGCAATAAGACAATTGGCTAGAGTCCCACCATAAGCTGAGTAATTCGTGAAAAAAGTAACATACCGTATGTTTTCTGCTGTTTTGACAGGGACTATACCGATACAATTCTGTGAGGGGACTTTTATCAAGACTGGAGCAGGCAGAATCTGGAGCAGTGGCCCATGGCAACCAATCAGCTTCTAGCTCCCATTTTCAAATCTTAACTGAACAAGCTGAAGATAGAAGCTGATTGGTTGCCATGGGCAACTGCTCCAGTTCTGATAAATTCCCCTCAGTGTGCTTCTTAGAGCTAATACTGAAATAGAAGTAGAACTATAATCACCATGACACTTTACTGTTTTTTTAGAGTATAGATATTTGCAATAAATCCATTGTAAATGATCAAAGTAAAGTTAATCTCTTCCATTAAATTCTTTGTTTTTCAGATAGCGGCGGAATGCCAGAGCGGCCCTGCGTCCTCACGGGCACCCCAGAAAGCATAGAGTAAGTGCATTGTGCCGCGGCCTCCTACTACTCCTCTGAGTCTCGGTGCCTTGCCTGCAGTAGTAGCTGCGATAAGTAATCCTCTCCCTTTGTGTTAGTACAGGTTTTAGACAAATTGCCATGTAGCAAAGTGTAATCTTGCTCAACTCTTTATCCACCAGCCCCCATTTCTTCCCTCCTTTTTTTTTTTTCTTTCTCCAAAAGCTACAATGTCTGCTCATCAATTGCAGTGTATTTTTCGCTTGGTGAGCAAATACAAAAGCCCCTAAAGTATCACAGCAGGTAGAGGTGATTCTGTGTACGTCCCCCCCCAACAATCTTGCTCCGCATTGCAAGTGCTTAGCAGAAAACTGGCATTAGACAGCCATCTTTCATGTCCCCAGCGTCTGGAAAAGATAGCTGGTTTTGCTGCATCCCCGTAAGTCTCGGGACTTTTCAGGGCGTTTCATAAGCCCATTCATTCGTGCCAGGCTGCTGTGACCGCTGATCTGGAATAAGTGTTATTGGCAACTGCATATTACACAGCAAGTGCTAGAGTTGCTTTGTTTTGATTTCTTTTTTTTAATATATATATACCCATTACTCTTTGCGCCTCCTCCGTTCAGTGAAAGTGCTGCGGCTGTGTAGGGAGAGTTTAGCTCCTTTCAAAGCAAAATCCAGTTTAACGCAGTTGCGCCTGAATGTAGTAGAAAATTGGTACTTGGACATTGAACTGGAATTAAAAGGAAAAAAAAAAAACTGGGCACCAAGGTGGCTTAGCGGATATAGTCCTAGTTACAATTCTCACCAAGGATATTTCCTGTATGGAGTTTGTATGTCCACCCCACGTGAGGGTTTCCTCTGGAACTAATCCACAGATGTAGTGACTGTGTGGGCTTGATGCTGACATTAGATTATAAGCGCCACTGAATCGTGGACTAATATGAAATGTTCTGTGTTAGCCAAGAAATGTTGAGTAGTGTAGTTTTTATGCAAGTGATATGCTACAAAGATGGGTTCAGATGGAGGCACTGCCCAGGTGGTTTAGTGGATTTTGGGTGGGTTATTTTGTAAGCTTTTGACTATGTTGTCACTTTTTGTGGTGTACTGGGGTATTGAGTGACAGTTGAGTTCATCACACTAAGGCCTCATTCACACTAGAATAGTCCGGCACATACAGCTCTGTGCTGCGTGCAGGGCCGTATCAGGCAGCTCCCGGAAGGACAGGTGCTGCGTGTGATTAGTACGCGGCTCCTGTCCATCTCTATGGGAGTACGTGGCCGTACACCCCCCTACGCTCACCTCAAGTACAGGTCCGTAGGGGTGCGTGTTTCCTGGCTCAGATAGAGACAGGATCCATCCTGTCATTGTACAAGTACGCTCACCAACACGGGCATGCAGGGTGTGTGAGCGTAGGGGGCGTACTGCCGCGTAGTCCCATAGAGAAGGGCGGTGGCTGCCTACTAATCACACGCAGCACCTGTCCTTCCCGGGAGCTGCCCGATACGGCCGTACACGCAGCACGGAGCTGTATGTGCAGGCCGATTCCAGTGTGAGTGAGCCCTAAAAGGGGTATTGCAGCCTTCAGTAGGGGACTGATGAGGATTTATTTATACATTCTGTGTTTTTATACCCTTTACGCTTACAGTAAATTATGCTTAGAGTATTGCCTTCAAGTAAAATGGCAAGCATGCAGAATACGCTGCCAAATGATGCCCTTTTATGGCTCCCAAAGAGCAATGGAACATGCTTGAAGTTTCTTTGCAAATGCAATGCAAGTTCCTTTGCAGAGAATTGCTGAAATTTGGCATTTGCTTACGCACAGCCCAGCCCACACTTGCAATGTTCTGACTTTGCAATAGGCTGGTCACCAGACGGTGTCTTTTGTGGGCAGCTGGTGTGGGTATACCTATGCTTCCCTTCAGAGCACTTTCAATGGGGTCTGGAAGTATATAGGGTAGGAGAGAGGTACAAAGCTGCCAGAGTAAAGAGTGGTCTCTACTGTGCAGCTGCAACCTTGGTTTATTTCCTCAGAGTATTAAGATCTCATGACTGTGCAATCCCAGGAAGTAAGACCTTTTTGTTAGAGGGTAGCGGGGATCTCTGAATAGCTAACAGATAAATATAGAAAACTGTGATGGAAGAATTTGTGTAGCATATGGGAGCTAGCTGGTACTTGTAAGGGGCCAGAAAACATATGTTGCCTCTATTGGTTTCCTGGCTTCTAGGAGGTTTCTTAATATTTGCAGTGTAAAGGATATATTTGAATGGACACTTAAGGGTAGTTTTACTTACATTTTTCCAGTACTCAACTAAATGCATTCATCTTTTATCCCTACAGGCAGGCAAAGCGTTTGCTAGGTCAGATCGTGGACCGCTGTCGGAATGGGCCTGGTTTTCACAACGATATGGATGGCAACAGCACCATCCAAGAGATCCTTATCCCGGCATCCAAAGTTGGCTTGGTTATTGGCAAGGGGGGAGAGACCATCAAACAGCTGCAGGTAAAAGGTCCTGGCCCGTGTTTTTCCAAAAACTCCAGCACAGCATGGGTTAATGTGACTTTATCCTTGGGTCCATTATCAGCACCCCACCCCCCCCTCCTTTTCCTCATCCATACCATTTTGCTAATAGTTTAGCTCTGCAGCAGGTATAAGTGTGTGTAATTATACTCAGTGTGTAACATTTCTTTGTGAGATGTTAATATTCAGAAGAGTACAGACTGCTGCTAATTAGCACTTAATTCCCGATACCGCAGTACCTTTAAAAGTGCTTTTTATTTCTTAAATTTCTATTTTAGTTTCTCTTCTGTTTTAGCTTTAAAAAAAGTTAAAGAAAATTGTCATTTAGAATGCATAGTATAAATGCAGCTGCAAGCAGGCGAGTGACTGATATTAATCACTAGTTCCAGTTCTGCGATAAGCGATCTGCAAAATAAGCGTAAGGAAATGCACATTAGACAGGTACTCAAACTGTCACTGATTTGATTAATGGCTACAATGCATTGCTTTCTTGAAGCTAATGGACAAGCAAGCTCTCGCACACTTATGTTACTATGGTGAAGAGGTTAAAAATATGGTTCTTTAAATTTTACCCGTATCTTGTAAGAAAACAAATTTTCTAGAGCGGGAATTGTACTCCGAGTTGATTTGTATAATGTTAATTCGCTTCAGGTCTGGAAGTGGCAAATGAGTTGGTTTTGGTGCTTTCTTGTTGGTGCTCCTTTTTAGCATGGGAGCTGGAACCATTTTAGCCTTGATGGCCCTGTAGTTTTAGCTGTGAACAAGGTAAGTATAGATCAGTATAGGTTCAAAGTATAGATCCAAAATATAGAATTACATATTACACCTAGAATCAAGCTTTTTAAATGGTTAGCACATAAGGATTGTTTACCTTTTAGCTTATTAATTGTTTATGCACAACAGAACAAAATACTATACGTTCCCTTTAGGTTTAAAGGGTTGAGGCCCCATTCACACCGTGGGCCTTTCGGCTGCGCGGATCCGCCGATTTGAACGATTCCATACATTGCGGTGGGGACCGTTCATGCAACCGCGCGGGTCCGCACGATCCGAACTGCTCCCTGCATTATTTTTGCCACGCTGATCAGTGCGGTTTCCATATAGCTTTCTATGGAACCGCTGCATTTTTTATTGTGTTTCAGCGCTAAAACGCAATTAAAAACTCCCCGAGATCAGCGCTTTTACTGTGCTGATCCGCAACTGCCCTGGTGTGAATGGGCTCTGAGTTTTAGGCCTGATTACCATGGGCTGATCAGGAGGGGATCCGTGCACAGATCCTTTCCTGACCACAGCAGTACTGAGCGGATGTCACTGCTGTGAGGAAAAGACGGAAACTGCCGGACCCCATGTCTGCCTATGGGGAATCTGATGTAAATGGGCATGTGTCCGTTTACATCAAATTACCCCCGATCTGGCGAAATGGATCTCTGATCAGTCTTTCACCAGAGTCGGGCGTAACCGGGTGTAAACGGACACTCGTCTGTTTACACACGGCTGCCCATAGACTTGCATTGGGCATTTTGATCTGGTCCGCCTGAAACACTGATAGTGTTTCAGGCGAACCTGATTGGACCGGCCGTGTGAAAGGGTCCTTAGGATTAAGTGTAAACTGTGGTAAGTAGAAGAGGTAGTGTGTTAAAGTTTTGAATAGAGTAGGGGAGGTTTAGAGTTAAGTGTTTTACTAGTGTCCTCATTAGAGAGGTTCACCCTCTGTGTCCTGACCATTTTCAGAGGCGGAAAGCAATGGGAAATATAAAATCTTAAGGTGCCCATACACTGCTCGATTCTCGTACGAGAATCGGGCGAAATCCCGCGATCGTACGAGAATCGAGCAGTGTGAACTAAGACGTGCGACCGTTTCTACTGTACGGTCGCACGTCTTTTGTCGAGCCAACATGCTTGAAAACCAGTCGAGAATCGTACGATTCTCGGCGGGTTTCTAGCCTGCTAGCCCGATATCTGCGGAACGGGCCGGTGTGCGCACACTGCCCGTTCTGCATTGCGATGATCGCAAGTACGATCTGCCCGTCCAAGGTGGGCAGATCGTACGGGCTTTTAATGAGCATACGACCATCGCAAGACAAAAGTCTTGCGATGGTCGTAAGGTGTATGGGCACCTTTAGTTATCACCATACAGGGATGGAGAAGAAATCGTAATTATTAGGCGACAGCTGTTTAAAAGGGGATCTCGCCCTTCTTTCCTGTTTCTCCAGGACTGGAAGTGAAGATAAAGCTTACATACAGCAAGATAACTTGTTTAGCCATTACTTAAGCTGGCCATATACGCATCACTCAATCCCCCCCGCTGGGCTGTTGTATTGTGATAGTGGTTGGTTAGAATACTGGAACCCTGACTACAGCTGATTCGGCTACAGTCACTGTTCAGTCGAGAATTTTCAGACTGGCTTTTGGCAAAAGTCAGTTGAGAAATTGACTTTTGAATGGAGGCGGGTCGATGGGGCCACACACTGCTCAGTTTTTGGCCTCATTAGTAGGCTAAAATTCTAGCAGTGTATGGCCAGCTTTATTGCATTCAAAACTTAAAAATTGCCTGTAGCTACTTTATATAGACCTAAAGGGTAATGGTTTAAGGTGCATAATTTTCAGGGGTTAGGCTACGGGTAGGGGTCGAGGCTTTTGAGAAATGTGCGTTTTTCTTTCACCTCTTTTGTTGGGAGATGATTGGTTTAAGAAAAGCCAGCTCCTGAATACAGAGCACAGCAATGGGTTCACTTTCATTCCTCATCTGGCAGCACATACTCATTTTTGAGGCCCCCCACCACTTGGCTCAGCAGTTCAGAAATGACCTGGTATTTCTGGGTCTTTAGAAGCTCACAATTCATTCCTGTTCCTTGCATGTGACAGCCCATGGTACTTGGTAATTGGCCTAGTGCTGTCACATAGAAGGTGGGAAGAGTTTTCAGCTTCCAGGACTCAGCTGAGTACAATGGGGGCAAAGGACAGGCGAGTATGTTCAGCTGGAAAGGGGGCATTAGTGAACCTGTTACTTTTGCCTTTCGTTGGCAAAACACTTTTCCTAAAAAGTAGATCTACACTTAATGTAAAAAATGTATGTCCTGCTGCTCCAGGCTACCCACAGTACTTCTTGCATTAAAATCAAAGCCTGGGCATTTGGTCATATGATCTCTGCTGATGGGGAGAAGCAGAGATCGGACTGACTGATCCTGCAGTCCCAAGATTATGATTACTTGAAAATAATTAAAGACAACCTGGAGGAGGATAGGACATGAAATAACTTTTTTTTTTAATTTTACTAGTATTTGTATGTCCCATTAAGACTGTTAACATGGCTTTATGTGTGCAGTTGAGGTTGGGTCCATGTCTAGTGGTTAAGTGTTAAAGTCAGCTTCTTAGCTCTTATTTGATTAAGCTGCATAGTGACTCTGTGGCTAACCATTACATTGGTGACATGTGTGCGTCTGATGGTTGTCTGTATGTCACTTCTTAAACATCTCATTTCATGACACTTGCTCTCATGTTACAGGAGAGAACTGGTGTTAAAATGATCATGATCCAAGACGGCCCATTACCAACAGGTGCAGACAAACCCCTTCGGATCACAGGAGACCCGTTCAAAGTGCAGGTGTGTGAGCTTTGTGAGCCTGACCAATAGCAAAGCTTTAAGTACTGAAAGCTGAACTCTAGGCAAGCAACTTCATGTATGTGTGAATTGTCTTACCTGCAAAAAAGATTTGTAAACCTGTCCAGCCAGTCTGGTGATCTGGGCAGCCTTGCCAGAGAAAGTAGCCAAGTCACTGACCTCCCTTTTTTTTCCAATAGCTATTAAAGAGCAGCTCTAGATTTGGTTTAAAAAGCAAATAGAGGGTTATTATTGCTCAAAAACTGCAGTGCATTGTTAGGTGTAGACAGTTCGTCTTTATGAAATAAAGCTTGGTCACCAACCCGACCCTAGCATGTTGATGGGCAGTTAAAAAGAAAAAAAAGCACACCACGTTGGTGAGGTTTTCACTCTGCTCTCACCTCCTGTCATCATGACAGAACTGTGCACTGCAGTAGAGTTTGATTGGCCTCTTGTTTTGCCCCTACCTCTTCCAGTCTGCAGCTTGTGGGGGGAGGGGGGGGGGGGGGGGGGTTGCAGGAAGCTTATTTAAAGATGAAATGGGTACTCATACGAAGTTTAGCTGTAAGGTGTTTAGTGAGTTCCCTAACTAATCTTTCCTGGTCTCACTCATGAGTCTAAAAGCAGCACTGCTAGTGTGGCGGATGTATTTCTCCCTTCATTTTCCCACTGCACTATGGGAGAAGGAAAGGAAGAATATGTCTCTTATGGGTAACCAGAACAGTTTTCCCTTGAATGCTGCTATAAGACGTGGGAAACACAATGTCCTTGCATGTGTGATCCGTGCACTGTTAGGCCGAGTGCAGGGATAGCCAAACTTCGGCCCTTCAACTGTGGTGAAACTACCAACCCACCGTGCCTCTGGAAGTCATATGTGACTGACAGAAGAGTGTTGCAATGCCTCATGGGATTTGTAGTTTCACCACAGCTGGAGGCTCAAAGTTTGGCTTCCCTTGCACTAGCGGGTGGAAATTGCCCTTCCTCTCCCAAGTGGCATTAGAGCAACCAAAAAAGTGGGAACAAAGAAGGGCCAACAGTGCCAGAGTAGTGTGGATGGTTAATATCATGGGCTGAGTCAGAGTGCATGTCATTATGGGTGATCTCCGAGATGCAGCAGCACACGGAGTAGATGGGAGCATTGTTTGCTCTTACAAGTAGAGCAGTGGCTGGATTTACTGGCAGAGGGCACATTTTTGGCAGCAGGTATGCGTGGATAAAAAAAAGCAAGCCTTGGGTTTGTGGGCTTTGTTTCTTGCATATTAAAGGCTGCTTAGGGGAGCGTAAGCATTGCTGATTGGAGCACCGAGAGCAGAGTTCTGGATCTCGATATACAGTATCAGTAACGCACTAACACATTAAATAACCTGAAATCTGTATTTTTAAGCCAGCCTGACTGCATGTCTCTAATAAAATATAAAGATTTATTTGGGCTTTAATGATAACGAGTTGAAAGCCACACATTGCTGCTGTTACAGTTGATATGTAGTAGCGTCTTAGTTCCTGCTTATTATAGACCAGAGAACAGTTGCCGTGATTTTATTCCTAAAGCCCAACTTCTATTTTGGATAGTGGAGAAGGATTATAACCTCTGTAAGGTATTCATTAGCAGTCACTGTCCCTTTTTAGTATTGCTGTGACAGGAAATCATAGGAAATCCCTCCATAAGGGAGGGGGTGGGTGCAGCATAGCCTGCAACAAAACTCTCTGTATATTGAAGAATTAGAACCTCTTTCAGGTTTTTACAGTCTGTGTTTCTTCCCTGGTGACAATCAAGTCCCCCCCCTTTTTTTTCCCTCTAGCTCTCACACGGTTAGGAAATGGGGTAAAATCTCGCCAACGGGGTCACAGAGCAATACATACTTCACAGAACTACTCTTTCCAAATCCAAAAATAAAAAGTTTGGATTGCGTTGGGCTTTAAGTAATAGTATTCACTATAGAAGGGCACATAGCTTAACCTGCATGGACGCTACTGCATGCCCATACCAGAAATAAGTTCCAAGGCAGGCTAATAAAGAAGGAAAGGGAAACACATGGTCCTTTCTTGTTTACAATAGTGGGCTGCTACTGAGTGTATACCAGGGCCATAGTGAACGCTTCATGTGTTTCAGTAATGTAGCAGTGCATGTTTACTGCATGTACCATCAAAATAACGTTTCATAGATGGTCCATTTACATAATCATTTCATAGTTGGCCCTTTACATATTGACCTTCGCTGTCCCGCTGCTTATAAATCGTCATAACATCATGCTTCCCTATTTTGTGTTTGGTTTTATAGGCCATGTTCTATGTTATAATGGACTGTTTAAGGCCACCCAAAAGTGATGTGTTGGCTATAGGTAGAGCCTGATGGGCTAAGCCCCTGATTTCTTATGTCTTGGATGCTCCAACAGTGAGATCTCCCCGCTAGATTTCCTGATTCTGTTCCTGTCCAAGGCTTGAGCATTACGGCTCACCTTTTTTGTGTTACAGCTTCCTGCTTTCTCTTTACATAATGTAAAAAAAAAAAAAGATTTAAAAGGGGGAATTTGGCCACGATGTAACTTGACCCACAAAGAAAAAAACTCCTGCATATTTTTGGCAGCACAGTGCTGTAACACAGTTGCGCTTTACACGTGCCTTGGGGTGATATTCAAAATGAATTGCACTGATGCATGCATGGTACACTGCCATGGTAGAGTGATTACTAATAAGGGTCTGTGTCGTTTGTTCGCTTCATGCGGGTATTTTAGTATATAAGGGTAAGGGATTTTTAGTATATAAGGGTAAGGGAAAGCACCTTCCGGTGAATTGTGAAAATTCTCACAGCATCTCAAATTGGTGCCATCGGCATCCCACAGACGCTAGTGGCCAGCAGGCGTGCAGACTCAGAAATTCAGCACAGAGATCTCACCAATTGCCATCCCTGAGAGATAGAGGAACCTGTCAGGTGGCTTAACCCTTTATCTACCAAATACTAAAATATAGGTTTTGGCCTTACTTACCCATTAACTTTGATGGATTGTCACTAGCTTTGCATCTTTCCTTTTTTTTTTTTTTTTTTTTTTTTTATAGAGATCATCAGAGAAAAGGACCAGGCTGACTTCAGAGGGTTACGCAATGACTTTAGCAGCAGGATGGGAGGAGGCAGCATAGAGGTGAGTGAGAATGCAAATACGCTTTTTACTACTTTTATCTTACGGTATCAATGCTACTTTTCATGTTTTTGTCACTTTGCAAATTTTGATATTGGAGTAAATTAGGTTGTTTTATGTGGTTACTGAACATATTCTAATTCTCATTCTAGCTTGCAATCTGTAGGTAGCAATATCGGGAAAGGGGAACTTTGTGGTAGTACTTTGTGCTGTGAGAGTAGTATTTGTCTGAATGGAGGGTTAAAGAATGTCTGATGACATGTGACATCCTTGGTAGTAACAACAGCCATTCATTAATTGCATTCTACTTCAGTAGCGCCATTAACATAAGCAGTAGCTGGTAAGGGGAATTGCTGTTGGTAGTAAGGGTTGTGGTATTTGGCGACATAACTGTATTACATGATAGGACTCCGAATAAATGGGTAATTTTTTAAATTTTTCTTAGACTGGGTTCACACTGTTGTGCTGTGGTAATACACAAAAAATGCACTTTCCATTGGTGTACTGTGATGCCATCCATTTCTAATAATACCCCTACCCATCTTGTCAACAGACATTGGTAGCAGTGCACCACAACACATGCATCATGGGTTGTGGTGCACCATGTTACCAAAGAATAGTACTCATGTGTTTTTGGTGCTTTAAGTAGCCCATTCATATGAATGGGCTGCCTTTGCACAACACATTCTCAGTTCACACTTACACGTATGCATTTTCATGAGGTTTTTTTCGCGTATTTTTAATGGCTGAGGAGGGTAACTAAAGTACAGGTTGCTATGAGAGGTAGAAACAATTTTTTTGTAGGAAACAAAAAAAAAAGGCAATTGTTCATGCTTTAGCACACTAAATGTTGTCCAGTTAGGGATTATATCTAATTGCTGCATTACATAACATATAGCCATTAAACTCTTAGGACTGAACTGTTCTGTGAAACTTGTTGCTGCTTTATCTCACCTTTACCTGTTTGTCACACTGCCCAGGTGTCTGTACCTAGATTCGCCGTGGGAATCGTAATAGGAAGAAATGGGGAAATGATCAAAAAAATTCAGAACGATGCTGGCGTACGAATTCAGTTCAAACCAGGTTGGTGCAGTACAATTCCTTCTAGTACATGGCTCAGTACGGAGCTGAACAGGGGTCGGGGGAGATGCACGTCTTCATGATCTGTAGTTCAGTATTTTGTATGTGGCTACATTTTCTCTCCCGTTCATTGAAGGACACAGGGAACAGATCGGAGATCCTGTACTGTAGGGTAATATCGCCACCTGCAGGAGAAGATATTGAACACCGAGCCCTCAATCTCTTTTTCTGCATCCCCTGTTAAATAATAAATAATAAATGAACAGGAATCCTCTGTAGTGAGTGTTCCTGTTAACTTGTGGGGATAGTATGTTTTCCATGTCCACAATCATGAATGAACAGGAAGTGATGTAGATTACTTCCGTTCATTCATAATTGAGGACACCGTAAACATACAACATGTCCTCAATTATTTACAAACACTGAACGCTGAGTGTTTGTACCCGCTCTCCATACTGGACCTCCTGTGACAGCTGTCACCGTCGCTCTCCCGATCTGTCACATGGTGGAGAGACGTCAGCCACTCAAAGCGCTTTCCTCCTCCCGCACCGCTCTGCCTCCTGTGACATTTTCTCTCCTCCCGGCTGGGATACAGTGCAGCGCCCAGCGGGGAGGAGAGCAACCACAGATGGTTCTACTACGTGTTTTGACATAGGGTTTCACAAAACACAGCTTATCTTTTTTTTTTTCCCCTCATCACTTTAAATTGCCCAGTTTTGCGGAAGGTTTACATTTAGAAGAAAGTCAGTTTTGTTATATCTGATGCAGGTTATTGGCATAAATGGCTATTATTATTACTATTATTATTTTACCAAGTTTGTGTTTTTTAATTGATCTGTAGTTCAGTAAATGTGATTTACCTCTTTTAAAGTATATAGCTGATGGCATACCTGTGTCTGAATTGCTCACATTAGTGAAAGCAGTATTTTCTCGTACCTACACTGGACATTAGTATGCACATTTTGCTTTTGCCATGAAGTCAAAGGTTAACCTGCACCTCCTGCAGTTTCATATTGGTCATTAAGGCTGTCTTTCACATTGAAGGACCAATAGGGAGGAGTTGGAGTGGGTGGGACAGCCAGTGACATTGTGGCAAATACTAAATTGTAGTCCACATTTATTCACTTTAATGCTGTAATGGTGTTTTTACCAGTTTGGCTGGAGTTCCACTTTACCTATTTAACGTGTGTTGTTTTGTACTAGTGAAAACGCCATTCTTTGTTACATGCCCTGCCAGTTTGCCGCTGGATACTGTTTTTTTTATTTGCGCATGGATATATTTTTACAGAAACCTGTCCTCTTGAGTAATCTACAGCTCTCAAGCAGAGTTGCTGCTGTTCTGCTTTAGTTGATGTGGCATCATATGCTGGCCTGTTTTTATATACGAAGCAACACTACATAACAGCTGGGTTTACAGCACATGGGGCTTAACGTTTTGCTTTGCTTGTGCTTGCCTCCTGCAGATGATGGAATCAGCCCTGAAAGAGTGGCGCAAGTAATGGGCCTCCCTGACCGGTGTCAGCATGCCGCGCATATCATCAATGAGCTCATTGTGACTGCGCAGGTGAGAGACTAAAACTGCAGACTTGAACTGACATTTTATACCTACACCTGATCCACACACTCCACCTTTGTACAAAAGGCAACACAGAATTACCTAGAACACAACTGAACAGTTTGATATTTTTATATATTTGTCATTTAGCAAGTGTGCATTAGAATCCAAATGCTAGCACAAGAAAGCCCCACGTTACACTTTAAATAAATTGAGAAATTTCCTTTTCTCATCCTTTTTGAGGGACACAGGAAGTCATTTAACGTTCAGGTTTTGTTGCCGTCTATCATAGGATTGGACACTGCAAAAGATCCAAAAATATTTAGAACATAACCAACAGCAAATGCGTATTAGAATCCAAAATGTTAGCGCAAGAAGGCTAAAGATTACACTTTAAATAAATTTAGATATTTTGTTTCTCGTCCATTGAGGTGCACAAGAAGTCATTAACCTTCAGGTTTTGCTGCGGCCTACCAGAGGATTGTAAACTGGTGGGGAAAAAAAAAGACCAGCTCCGGGCAACACCTAAGACAACACCCCCCGCCCCTTATCACTTAAGACTTTTCTCTACATTGCTGCTGGAACTTTTTAGTTTTCAATAGCAGCTCTCCAGCATTGTCGTCCTCCGCCTGGCTTTTGAAGTACCGTCTCTGCAAGATGGGACATTGCAAGCATAGCCTGGAAGTGATTGTCGGCCATTGGGTTCCTTGTGGGGCACTCTCCGAACACTGTTCAGGTCAAAGTTAGCTGCAACGTACTTTCCAAGTCCAGAGTCACTGGCATTGCCTCAGTGCTTTCCCTGTCTCTGATGACTTAGTGAGTAGGCCGGTCGGGCCGTGCACCCAGGAACTACATTTTCTTAGGTCACTGGGAGGTCTCTTATTTCCTTTGGCCTATTGTCTGCCCTGAGGATCAATTTGCCAATGTTCATATTTTCAAGGCTGTCTCATATTTGCATTGCCTGGTACGTTTTCAGGTGTAAGGTCCTTGAGGTGGCTCTTTGAACAGAAGGCAGTGCCATTTTCCCACTTGTTTTTTTCTTGAACCGGTTCGTGATTGTTTTCTGTGTTGCCCACCCCTCAGTTGGACTGCTTTTGGATGTCCCAAAGGCTAAAGAGTTCCTGTTTCCCTCAATTGACTCCAAGAAAAGGATTTTGAGGTGGCTACAAAAATCCTACTCCCTCCTCATCCTATAATCCTCATCCTGCAGTGATCATTAATAAAAATAGGATTTAGAAATTGATCAAAAGTGTGGCTTGATTTTTAAATGAATGGCCACAAAATGGCAGTCCTGCCACACACAGATGGGAATTCACTTATCTAAACGTTCTTTTTTTTAAAACCAAGATTTGAAAATGTAGGGTTTCTCCCGATGCCAATGAGCTTCAGCACATGTGCCAGCCTTATGAAGTGAATGCATGGCAGTGACACTAGTTACACAAGGTGTGTTTATCAGTGAGTGCATATCTTGAGCCAACTTAAAGACTTGAATTGTGAGCTGGAGCAGTAAATTGCAACCAGAAAGAAGAACATTTGCAGTGAAAAAATAGGGCTGCCCCCAGTCCAAAAAAAAATATTAATAGAAACAAAGTTTAAAGTGATCATGAATTTAGATAAGATTCAAACCAGGATAATTTTTTTTACATTACATTTTTGTTTAAACATTAGAAAGGTGGTGTATTCCCTTTAGTATATGCATGACAAGCCTGCATTATTTCTTCATGCTTTTGAAACCTGAAATTCCATGTCATCTCCTGCAGGAACGGGATGGTTTTGGTGGCCTGGCGATGGCTAGGGGCCGGGCTCGCAGTCGCGAGTGGAATATTGGTACGTCAGGGGGAATGCAAGAGATCACCTACACTGTGCCTGCAGACAAATGTGGACTTGTCATCGGTAAAGGTAGGACTTACCAGAACCCGCCAACAGCCATCAGGAATGCTGCTCCTTTTTTCAGTCTGCACAATGTTTTATGTATTCCCAGTAACTGCAGACCTAAATCCCCCCCTCCCCCCCATTTGATGTCCATAGGTGTAGTACAAACTAATATTTGTGTATGTTGGGGCAAAATAAATACACACATGCCATATGTCTTTTCCATACTTGTGCAGTACCCCATGTTTTATGCATTTAACCACTTGAAGTGTTTCACCCCCTTCCTGGCCAGGCCATTTTTCAGTGTTCAGCGCTGCGGTACTTTGGCTGACGTTTATTCCGTCATGCAATGCTGTACTGAAATTAATTTTATACCATTTTTTGGGGGACAGATAGAGCTTTATTTTGGTGGTATTTAATCACCGCTGGGGTTTTTATTTTTTACTATATAACAAAAAAAGTACCCTAAATTTTGTAAAAAAAACATGTTTCCCTATAAAATGTTATGAAACATTTATTTTCGCCCCAATTTTTTTGGTATAATATAAAAGACGGGGTCACGTCGGGTAAATAGACACTAAATATGTCAACCTTTAAAATTGCGCGCGCCCGCGAAATCGCAGAAAACGACCGCAACCAAAATTGGCCATAGGCGACACTTTAAACGTTTTTACCGCTCATCAGTTTAGTGTTATCAGTGATTGGCCCTAAAATTATTGCTCTCACTCCGACGTTCGCGGCGATATGTAACATGTGCTGCGAGGAGACGGCGGGACAGAGGTACGGGGGGGGTGCGCACACCCGCAGCTCCTGCAAGCGATCGGGCGTCTCTAGAGACGCCTGATCGCTTGTATGTAAACAGCCATCGCTGGCTGTTTACATGCTCACAGTTTTCCCTCTCGTGTGCGCGCTGAGTGCCGCACACGAGAGGGGGGAGGGGCAGGACGTCTTAAGACGCCCTCCCGCTCCTAGCAGACGTCCGTCCGGCCGTTCACAAACGGCCATGGACGGAAGGTGGTTAAAGTCGTTGCAACTACAGAAAATAGCAGTTGGTTTGCTAAAAATTCACTCGGCTCTTAAGTCCTATCGTGGACTGACTGTACACAGTGTTTTTGTAGACTGAGTGGTGTCAGCCCTGCCCGGTTTTCTCTTGTCGCACTACTCGGACCCGCCTACTTTTGCCATCTCCACAATGTAAAGGCTAATCATTCTGTAGTCCTATGAGCAGGAATTGGGGGTCTGTTCACCTTCCTTGAGATAACACAAGAAGTGTGTAGTGGAAACAGAACAACTTTAAATATCTGACAACAGAGATTTTTGCACTTATCAAACAGTTTTGTAACTATCCTTTCAATGGCGTATTTAACAGGCCTAAGCCCTCGTTCACACCTGAACGTTTTGTAGCGCGTTCTACGCTCGACGAACGCTCAAAAATATAAATCCCATTTTATTCAATGGTCTCGTTCCCACCTTGGCCTATTTCCGCCCGTCCCTAACGCGCTACAAAACGGCCCACGGCTGAAAAGGTACAGGTACTACTTTGGGCCGTTTTTTTGCGCGTTTCCATTGGGACACAGCCAAATAGCCTTCGGAAACGTGCGATGGTCGACGTGACTTTTTTACCGCGAATCGCGCGACAGACGCGCATATGCAATACGCCTAGGTGTGAACAAGACCTTAAGGGAGCAAATAAAAAGTTAATTGTTATTGGAAAGTCCACTTTCCCAGGTGAATCTGGAATCTCTCAACGTCACTGCTGTGTTTTTGTCACTTTGCAGCAGTTCTGAACCTGTGGGTCGCGACCCCGTCGGGGGTCTAATGACGATCTGCTCTGTTTTTTGTGTTTTTTTTTCTCCTGACATCGCGGCCGCTGTCAGTCAGAAAGAAAAACCAGCAAAGGAATGCATAGCTGGATTCCTATTGGCTATTTCACTTTGCAATAGCAAACTAGCTATTGCACCGCCCTCTACTGCTGCCAATCAGCACAGGGGGACCTGAAGTTCTCCATCAGGTCCCCTTCTAGTGATTGACAGCAGCAGTGGGCGGGTGCAATAGTTTATTTGCTATTGGCTATTGCAAAGTGAAATAGCCAATAGGAATCTAGCTATGCATTCCTATGCTGTTTTTTTTTGTTTTATTCTGACGGCGTACAGCTTACACATAGCACAGCTGGCCCCGCCCACCCCAGGAGCTGGTCACATGACTGACACATCTTATGAGGGGTAACTCTCACGGTTTACACTGAACTCTATGGGCTGCTCTGTCAGTGACAGTACTGTGGAGTATGTACCTCATACGTTGTATAGCCACACACTTTAAATCCAATTCTTCTAGTTCCATCTGCAGAGCCCGGTCCTGTCTTTGCCTATAGCAGTGGTTCTCAAGCTGTGGGTCGCTGTGTGATTTCTGCTGTGCTAGGCGAGAGTCCTCCTCAGCCCTCTCATAGCGCAACAGTGTCAGTTCTCCCACCACGCCGCCAGATGTCGCAGCCGCGTCATCCCTAAATTTTACCGTTGGGGGTCACCACAACTTGGCAAATGTTACCAAGGGGTCCCGGCCCTAGAAAGGTTGCGAACCACTGCTTTACAGTTTCCCTCATGTATTAGACAGATTCCCTTTACATTATAGGTGCATGTGCTCAAATATTACTGCAGTTGACAATATTTTACTTTGCTCTCCAGAAAGTTGCAAACAGATTTTAGAGCTAAGCGAATCTCTCTATAGAATGCTCTGGGGCTGACCCATTAGTTGTTGCAAAATTAAAGAAAATTGAAATACCGATTGAGTGTTTGTTTTTTTTATATATTATATAATTATTTTTTTTTATACACGTCTGGATTTGTACAGAACAGTTGACTTTGCTTCTGTTTGTATTGTGGTTTGTCTTCGGTTTGCTGTCCATTCTAATAATTTTGTTTGGCATTCTCTTAGTCTGTAATGCACAACATCAGGGCTTTGTTACCTCCCAGCGTCCATAAATCTCACTTGCAGCCACTGCTTGGTGAAGCATGGCTGTGTAATTAGATTATAATCACGGAACGATTAGCAGCTTGGGCACTTAAGTATATTTAGAACAATTTGTTTACCCAGCCTGCCCTTTGTACCTGCTGTAACACACCAGCCTCTGCTGGATGGCTGCTCTTATTCTCTGTAGTATAGCTGTGCACTGCTAATATGTTAGAGGTAACCCTGCGGTACTGGCAGTTCTTCATAGGCAAGAACTTCATTATGTGTATGCTGGGGAATGGAAGGCTTAGCTGGCATCTTGTCTGGCTGTTTCTTTAAGGGCCTGTTCACACGACGTCCGTTTTGTGTGCTGACTGCATCCGTACGCTGCTGCACTCAAAATGCATCCCAATGTATCCCTATGTGTTTTATGGGCTCCAGTTCTCACGTGCGCAGTCCGTTCAGCTTACGACAGAAAAAATACTGCATGTCACATTTTGTCAGGTCCGGATACGCAAACGCGTCAAAAACGCACTGCGCTGCAGCTAACATACTAACAGCCCCACTCACTTGTTCTGCCTGATGAAGGGGATCCTGTGTGACCCCGAAACGTTGCAATAAGTGTATTGTTGCATGGTGCGTCAATAAAAGACGTTTTTCTACTTTGGAGTGCCGGTGTCCATAACTCTTTATACTCCAGCATCAAAAACGCAATGCATCAGCAGCTCCACGTCTGCTGATCAGGACCTCATCAGGACCTGATCTCATGTGAACAGGCCCTAAAGCAAACCTTTGCTTTGACCATGCAGGGAAAAGCTACAGGATAACTTAATTGCCGGTTCTCACAGTTGCTTATACTGTGGCCACTGGGAGAGAAGAGAATAGGCCACTTTTTAAACACCAGGTCATCACACGAAGCTTTTATAGGGCTTCAATGGGGACGGGGACCTGCGCCGGTGTGAAGAAAGGGCAAGTATAAGCAGATGTGGGTACCAGCATGGGCAAGGTTTATGTTAAAGCACTGTTAATGTGATTTTTACATGTTTGGTTATCCATAATCTTGTACTAAATGAGGCAAACAAAAGTAGGTTTAGTCACTACAGCCACTCTACATCCCTAAGGAATAACTGTTGCAGTAAGGTTGCATTGTTTTCAACCAGTCTGCAAACTCATGAAGCAGTAAAACCCAACTATTGTGCAACACTAGAAAGCGGTGCCACTTTATTTGTTTAGCAAATATGGTTGCATATGGGTTACCTGTAATGCCTGCACCGACTTGAGAAGCAGTTGAAGAACCACCAAGATAGTAGAGCTAAAAGGACTTACTGATCCGGTCCCGATAGTATGTTGGCACTAACTAGAAGTGCTAATTTTAACCAGTGACTTATTTCAGTTTGGCGGAAGTGCTCTGTGTAAAGATGCTCGGCTAGCATTTAAGAGCAGCCATCACCCCCCCTCCCCTATCCCAGTCACATTTCCATGATAAACAGTGTGTGTCAGTGACAGGCAGGGGCTCACAGTCTCAGCCTGTCCACTCTGCCTTTTAACTGCCTTGATTAATTGCTTTACAATTTGCCACCCAGCTGGGGGGCCCCTCTCTCACCTCCTCTCCTTACTGTTCCTGTAAATAGGAGCAGCCAGGGAGGAGGGGGCCCCATTCAAAGGCTCCCAGACTGCAGGGACAAATTGGGACAACACCACTGAATACCAGGAGATTGGAGCAATAGCCCATATTAGAATTAGCGTGAAAAACAGCAGCCCTTTACATGGCTAAATAATCCAATAGTCTGACAGCTATACAGGAGAAAGTCTACTCCAAATGTAATGTCTGGCTGTTTCTTTAAAGCAAACCTTTGCTTTGACCATGCAGGGAAAAGCAACAGGATAACTTAATTGCCGTTTCTCACAGTTGCTCAGTGTATCTAAACCTAGAGTTATTCTTTTAAACTTGTCTTATTTAGTATTGCCAAATATTTCCAACTTGAGTGAATTTGTTTTATACCTAAGGCAGCAGGGACTAGGGTAAGAATGAGCTTTTATGCAATTGATGCAGCTTTTTGATCTGCAAATAGAAGCATCAT